AAGAGAGAGATAGAGAGAGAGAGAGAGAGAGAGAGAGAGAGAGAGAGAGAGAGAGAGAGAGAGAGAGAGAGAGAGAAGAGAGAGAGAGATAGAAAGAAAGAAAGAGAATCGCAGCAAGCCCGGCGCCCGCATCCCACCTGCGCCAAGAGGTCGAGGTCGATGGGCGGCGAGGTCTCCGTGGTGGTCAAGGGCTCCTCGGGCGGGGAGGAGTTGATGAAGTCGACGATGAACTGGTCGATGGGCGAGATGGGCTCGTCCGTCGTGGGTCTGGTCGTCGACTCCCCCTTCGTCGTGGTCCTCGGAGGCTTCGCGGTCGTTCTCCTAGTCGTGGGTCTTTGGGTGGAGGGCTTCCTAGTCGATGGTCGTCTGCTGGGAGGCCTTCGTGTGGGATTCTTCGTCGTCGGTCTCCTGGTCGTTGTTCTTCTGGTCGTGGTCATTGTAGGTCGTCGTTTTTTGGTTGTCGTTGCTTGGGTCGTCCTCTCCGTTGTTGTTGTGATTGTCGTGGGCCTCGAGGTGGTTGTTTTGGGTCTGGTCGTGGTGGTCGTAGTGGTCGTAGTGGTCGTGGCGTCGACTTGGGAGGTGGACGTGAGCGTCACTTCGTCCGCCATGGTCGTGCTCTGCTGGGGGGCGTCGGTGAGAGTGTTGACGGACGGGTCCTCGTACTTGACCGTCGCAATGGAGTAGGTGGACGACGCCCACGGGGTGGTCGTGGTGGCGTCTGCGGTGGTCTGGTTTTGGGCGCCGTGTAGGAGGTCTCCCGTGATGTGCTGGAGGATGTCTCCGGGGATGATGGCGGGCTGGAGGGGGATGTCAGGGTCGGGGAAGAGGTCCTCGTCTTCCGGAGTCACGGAGACGGAGGCAGAGCTGGCTGTGGTAGTGGCCTGCGGCGGCTTCTTTGTCGTCGTCCAGATGAGCAGAGGTTCGTCGGTCGTCGTGGGTTTCGGTCTCGGCCTCGGTCTCTTGGGGCGTGTGGTAGTCCAGAAGGCGAGAGGGTCTTCGAGGTCGGGCGTCCCTTCCTCCGAGGCGGGCGTCTTCTCGGTGCTCTGAGGCGGCTTGCTTGTCGTGACAGGGGCAGCGGGTTGGGGAATGTCGCCCTGCGTCTCCTCCTCATCTGCCGCTGGCTTTGATGCTGGCTTGGGCATCGTGGCTGACGTGTGAGATTCCACTTGTGAAATGACCGAAGTAGGAGGTCTTGCATCCAGTATGGAAGGCTGGGGAGAGAGAGTCCAGATTAGTATAGGCTCTGTGGTCGATTCGGTTGTCTGTGGGGTTAGAAGAGAAATGGCTTCTGTTGACGTTCTTTCCAAGGAGTCCGGGACAACCGTAGGCTCGGGAGGCTTGTCTGTGGTAAGGATGCCTACTTCTGCTTCGTCTGTAGTCTGCGAGAGGACGTAGATCGTCTGCGCTGACACATCAACCGGAGGCGGCGTTGCTTCGTCCTCCCAGGCGAGTAGCGGGTCAGAAGTCGAAGTCTTCTGTCCGCTGGCGGGGCGCACGTACGGCCGATGGGACGTTGGCTTTGGCTCGAAGTATAGTTCATCTGAAGGCGAAAGCATCAGGCCGGGGTTCTCCGTATTCTCCTCGCCGTCGTTCAGAGCATCAGTGACATCAAAATTAACGATTTCATGCGTGGCAAAGCCATCTTGGCCATCAGGCAAGGTCATCATAATCACTTGCTCGGTGTTCTCCTCCGCGTCCGCGCCGGGCCCTTCGCTGGTGGGGGCCGCGCTCTCCACGATGGTGAAGGTGATCACGCCGCCCTCAGCCAGGACGTCTGGTATTCCCGTCTCGACGTCGGAGTGGAACTTCGATGATGGTTCCGTTGCTGGTGGAGTGGCATCAAGCAGAGAGACAGACGTGAGAAGAGCGCCTTGGTCGTCTATCGAAGACTCCATTTGATTGCTTACTTCATCCGCCTCAGTGACGTCCGTGGACTTCACTGTGCTATCTTCGACGTCCATAGAATCGCCTCCATTCGCAGAGTCGTCTGCCGTCGCCATAGCGCCTTCGTCATCGGAGTTGGCGGATGGCTCCGTCGGACCGGCGGTGTTTACATCCTCCATGCCGTCTGTCTCGTGAACATCTTCGCTATTTGCGCTCGTTGCTTCAACCTGCATTTCAGTAGATGTCTCGCCAGGTCCCCCGCTCTCACTAGTCTCGTCTTCGGGGCCGGATGCCTCTGGCACTCGGACGTTGACGATGCCCGGAACAATAACCTCCGTCGTCGTGGCGCCCTGGGTGACGGCGCCACCCGCAGCTCCTCCGCTGGAAGAGGCTGCACCCCCACTGGTCGCCTCTTCTTCCGCCACGCTCTCCGGCCCAGATCCTGTGAGGTCCACCTCCGCTGGCACCTCCGGTATAACTGGCTTCTCCTCCTCCTCCTTCTTATCCCCGTTCCCTTCTCCGTTTTCGTCAATGCCTTGCTGACCCACACCAGCCGCAACCGGTGTCTCCGTGGGCAAGGTGGCTCCCTCAGGCAGGTCACAGCAGGCGCCGAAGAGGAAGCCATCAATGCAGGTCCCGACGACGTGGCCGCCGCGCTGGTAGCACTCGAAGTTGAACATGCAGACACCCGGCTCTCCGTCAGCGCCATGGCACTGGCGCGGCTCGATCTGAAGGCGGCGGTGACCGGACGAGGACCCTGCAAAAGGCGAGGCAGAGTAAGGATACGGAAAGGAAGAGCAACCCGGTGAAATTATACTGATGTACTGAAGCGAATCAGGACATTAGACACTCAGACTCTGCTACAAGTTTAGATCTGTGATGCATGTCGGATTTTATGCTGGTATATAAAAAGGTTTTCAAAAATAACGCGAGATGATCATGCAGATTCATCTTGGATGTCACCAATGACTCACTTACTTCCATCTTATGTTCGGGAACGGAGAGAGAGAGAGAGAGAGAGAGAGAGAGAAAAGAAGAAGAAGAAGAAGAAGAAGAAGAAGATAGATGGATAGAGAGAAAAAGAAAGAAAGAAAGACAAACAACCACTAAGCGAAAAAAAAAACATAGCTAAAAAAAAGTAAAAAAAATAAATAAATAAAATAAAAAAACACACACCAAGCCAAACGGAAACCGACATGAAAAAAAAACACACACACACAAAAAAGCCAACCCGGCAACAGAACACGTGCAGGCGGCCGTGCGCAGCGACACACAGGCCTAGTCAGCAGCAGACTCATTATCCGGAAAACGTCAAGGCTGAGCAACCCGAAGTCATGCCGAACAAGACGAAACGGCGGAGAGTGAGTCGCGCTGTGCGGTCGCCGAGGAGAGAAGTGGACCCGAGAGAATGGGAAGGAAGGTTGGCGATACGAGAGGAGATGGAGGAATAGGGAGAAGGAGAAGAAAGGGAAGGAATGGGAGGGAGGGAGGGAGGGNAAAGGAGGAAAAATTAATAAAAGAGAGAAAAGAAAAATAAAAATAAAAAGAAAGCAAAAGAAAGAGAAGAAGAAGGAAACGGAGAAAGACAGAGAAAAGAGAGAAGAGGAAAGAAAGAGAAAAGAAAACCGGGGTAAAAGGAAGAGTAAATATAAAAACCGAATAAAATTAAGACTTCCTTTTCAAATAGGTTCCGTAAATATAGGAATTTGCGCCGTGAGTGTCCGGATGCGTGCACGAAAGGAGGAGAAAGTTAACGATCAGCTTAAAAGTAACGACGTCGAGGCAGTGTTAAACAATCTGCAATAATGACAAAGTAAAAACGGAAGTGCTAATCAAAAGAGAAATTTCTATTGTCGTGTATTTTTTGGATTGCGCATAGTCACGTGACATCGAATCGGTTCTATCAATCATTGACGATTCATTGGATACGCTCGAGACACGCGAAGACTGTGCGATCGGATGAACAACCGATCGATTTTTTTTCTCTCTGTCTCTCTCCCTTTCTCTTTCATTTTACTCGCCTCACCTACTCTCTCTCTCTCTCTCCCCTTCTCCCTTTCCTTCCTCTCTCCCTTCTGCCTTTCCCTCCTTCCCTCCCTCCCTCTCACTCACGCACTCTCACTCTCTCTCTCCAAGAAAGTTCCTCTCTCTCTCTCTCTCCAAGAAAGTTCCTCTCTCTCTCTCTCTCTCCAAGAAAGTTCCTCTCTCTCTGTTTCTTTCTGTCTGTCTGTCTGTCTCTCTCTCTCTCCAAGAAAGTTCCTCTCTCTCTCTCTCTCTCTCTCTCTCTCTCTCTCCAAGAAAGTTCCAAAGACGTTTTAAAAGCGATGAATCACACGGAGATCGCGGCAATTCGCACGTGACTGTTCGTTTGAGAGGAACCCCCTTTCACCGGCGGCGTGAAAAGCGTATGCACAAAGAGGGAGGGGGAGAGAGGGGGTGGAGGAGGTAAGACAGGTATGGAGGCGAGAGGGTGGGGGGTGGAGGAGGTAGGAGAGGATGGGAGGGAGAGGGAGAGAGGGGGTGGAGGTATAGGGGGAGAGGGAAGAGGCAGGGAGGGAGGAGGTATGGGAGGGGGGAGTCGGAGAGAGGGGGGGGTGGAGAGGTATGGGAGGGGGAGGAGAGAGAGGTCAGGGGGTGAAGAGATAGGTGGGAGGTAGAGGAGGGGAGGGAGGAGAGGGGGGTGGAAGGAGGTAGGAAAGGTATGGGAGGGAGGGAGAGAGGGGGGTGGAAAGGAGAGTAGGAAGAGGTAATGGGAGGGAAAGGAGATGAGGGGGGGAAGGAGGTAGGAAAGTATGGGAGGGAGGGAGAAGGGGGTGGGAAGGAAGCGTAGGAGAGTATGGAGGAAAGGGGAGAGGTAGGGGATGAAGGAGGTAGGAAATGTATGGGAGGGAGAGGGAGAGGAGGTAGAGAGGTATGGGACGGAGTAGGGAGGGCGGGTTTGAAAGGAGAGGAGAGGTATGGAAGGGAGAGGGTGATGAGGGGTGAAGAGGTAGGGAGGGTATGGGAGGAGAGGGAAGAGGGCGGGGTGGAAGGACGGTAGAGATGTATGAAGGGAGAGGGAAGAGGGGGTGGAAGGAGGTAGGAGAGCATGGGATGGAGAGGGAGGATGAGGGGTGGAAGATAGAAGGTTAGAGAGGTATGGGAGGGAGAGGGAGAGGGGGGGGGTAGAAGAGGTATAGAGAGATGGGAGGAGATGGGAGGAGGGGGTGGAAGGAGTAGGAGAGGTATGGGAAGGAGAGGGAGAGAGGGGGTGAAGGAGGTAGAGAGGTTATGGGAGGAGAGGGAGAGGGGGGGGGTTAAAGGAGGTATGAGAGATGAGGGAGGGGAGAGGGGGTGGAAGGAGAAGGAGGCCTGAGAAAGGAAGGGAGGGGAGGGGAGAGGAGAGAGAGAGAGAGAGAGAGAGGAAGAGAGAGAGGAAGAGAGGACGAGAGAGAGATGAGAGAGAGAGAGGAGAGCGGAGAGGGAGGAACGGAGGGAGAGAGAGGAGAGATGAGGAGGGACGAGAAGAGGAGAGAGAGAGAGAGAGAGAGAGAGAGAGAGAGAGAGAGAGAGAAGAGAGAAGAAAAAGAAAGAAAGAAAGAAAGAAAGAAAGAAAAAAGAAAGAAAAGAAAGAAAGAAAGAAGAAAAAAGAAAGAAAGAGAGAGAGAGAGAGAGGAGAGAGAAGAAAGAGAGAAAGAAAGAAAGAGAGAGAGAGAGAGAGAGAGAGGAGAGAGAAGAAAGAGAAAGAGAAAGAGAAGGGAGGGAGAAAGAGAGAAGAGAAAGGGGAAAAAGAGAGGAAAAGAGAAGGGAAAAAGGAGGAAAGAAAAGGAGGAAAGAAAAGAGAAAGAGAAAGAGAGAGAAGAGAGAAAGAGAAAGAGAAAGGAAAAGAGAAAGAGAAAGAAAGAGAAAGAGATAGAAAGAGAAAGAGAGAAAGAGAAAGAGAGAGAGAGGAGAGAGAGAGAGAGAGAGAGAGAGAGGAGAGAGAGAGAGAAAGAGAGAGAGAGGAGAAGCGAGAAAAAGAAAGAGCGAGAGAGAGAATGGCTATTACACTTACAATAATAAAAATATCTAATTTCGTAACCCTTTAAAATAATTTTCCATTTACACGTTGAAAACCATATCTAATACACCAACGCTTTGTCCTCGGAATAAAAAAATGAAAATATAACCTAAAATAAGCAATTCTGAGGCGCCCGGGAAACAAAAGCTGTCACTAAGATAATTACCTTTGGATAATTACTTTCAATCAACACGTAATCACCGTTTTCCATAAAAAAAAAATCTTTCCTATATTTTCGTATTTTCTTCCTTTCCTTTTTTTCTTTCTTTCCTATATTTTCGTTTATTTCAGTATTTTCTTACTTTCCTTTTTCTTTCTTTCTTTCCTTTATTTTCTTCCTTTTTTCTTTCTTTCCAATATTTTCTTCCCTTTTTCTTACTTTCTTTCCTATATTTTCTTCCCCTTTTCTTTCTTTCTTTCCTTTTTCTTCCTTTCTTTCCTATATTTTCTCCCCCTTTCCTTTTCCTTTTTCTTCCTTTTTTATTTTTTTCCTATATTTTCTCCCCTTTTCCTTCTTTCTCTTTTTTCTTTATCATCTCACCGTATTTTATCCACAGGCCTACATTCCTACCACGCCTCCACGATCCGTTGAATATGCGTTGTGCGTGTCGGCGTCCATCGGATATGCGATAACCACGTGGCAGATCAATGGCAAGGGTTGCATCGCTTTACAACACGTAAGTTCATACGGGACAGGTCGTTGCTACGGAATGTTTGGGGGCGAAGTTTGGAAATGCAATTTGGTGGCAGCATTTTATATACGATTCATATGTGCTCAGTTTCATATGATTAATGTGTGTTCAGATAGGTTAGCAGACGGGCAAGCAGAGACAGCCAGGGCGAGGAGAGACATTCACACACACACACACACACACACACACACACACACACACACACACAGGCACAGGCACAGAGACATTCACACACACACAGGCACACATACACAAAGCCTTCTTTATCCAATGGTAATGTCGCTTATGGAGTCAAATTGAAGCTGTATGTACTTACATTCGCACAGAAAACGTGGAACTTCCTCTGAACACAAACAAGACACAAACGCGTTTTCCACCTTTTTCTTACAAACGCTCTGACCATTTCTGGCGCTGAACAATCGCCCATTCTTCTCAAGAAAGCTTTCCTCTCCGCTCTCACCACCAACACAGAACAAAGAATCAATGCAGGAATCCGACCGTGACACCTCACTGTTCGAAAGCATGATCTAAAGAAAGACCAAGTGTCAGATATATTCCCAGAAAAGGAGAGGATAAAACTCGCTGCCAAATCCCGAATCAATAATTTTAAATCTTTGATCTATTTTCTCGCTCACGCCCATTCTTGGTAATAAGAAGCCCGTGAAATGGCAACAGCGATCAAAATAGGCCTATTCACGAAACCGAATGCCAGCACGCGAGTTCATTAGAGCAAAAACTCTTCATCAATCTCATACTTTTGCAGAAATCAACGTGATAATGAATAAAGAAATAGATGTGAATTCTAATGCCGGTAATAAACAAATTCACATAATGCTAATCAGGTGACGTAATATATATTTACTTCCGGGCTAATATAAATGTATATCATCTCAATATTTACATTTTTTTTTTACTGAAGTCTTCGAAGCGCAGGTAAATAATGTAACCTCATAAACAAAAATCTGTCTATAACGTATTCAGAGTTTGCGACTTCTTAACCGAAGTTCGCTCCCCGCCCCATGCACATACACGCCACTGCCAACCCATTAATTATTTCAAAAAATATATCTAATCGATGCACGCAAGCACCGGGGGCGGGGAGCGGGGGTAGGGGGGCATTATTATCGCTCGTTCCTGAGAATCATAAAGCCAAAGGGGGGGGAGGGGGGAGGAGGGGGGAGGGGGAGAGAGCAACCCATTCGCCCCAACACAAACCCGATGATTCACCCCCAGTACGAAGGGAAAAATAAAAG